CACGTGGCAGTCTAAAACAAGTCAGTGTTTGTGTCTCAATAGCTTCTCTTTTTGTTCCTCACTAACTTTTACTTCCTGCAGTTTCTCGTTCTCTTGTATTTTTATATCCACTCCCCATATACCCCACCATTTATACTCCCTTTCTGGACTGACTCTCGGGCCTTTACCTCCTGTCCTAAAGCCTAATCTGCCCGAATCCTTTTCTCATTTCACTCTGCATACTCAAACTTACAGTATCATGTGCCCTATACTTTTTAAAAAAATAAAATGACCAAAAAAAAGTTACAAATAATATTTTAAGCCTGGACATGTGGCTTATGCCTGTAATGCCAACACTTTGGGAGGCTGAGGTGGGCAGATCACTTGAGGCCAGGAGTTTGAGACCAGGCTGGCCAACATGGCAAAACCCCATCTCTACTAAAAGTACAAAAATTATCCAGGTGTGGTGGCTCACCCCTAGAATCCCAGCTCCTCGGGAGGCTGAGGCAGGGAACCCTGGAGCTTGAACCCTGCAGTCAGAGGTTGCAGTGAGCCAAGATCATGCCATTGCACCCCAGCCTGGGCAACAGAGTGGGTTTAAAAAAAAAAAGTTAGTGACTATGTCAAAGTCTCAGAATCCAAGGTCTCCATACTAATATGGAATTTTTTTTTTTGAGACAGAGTCTCATTCTATGGCCAGGCTGGAGTGCAGTGGCAGGATCTCTGCTTACTGCCACCTCTGCCTCCCAGGTTCAAGAAATTTTTCTCCCTCAGCCTGCTGAGTAGCTGGGACTACAAGCGCATGCCACCACGTCCAGCTAATTTTTTGTATTTTTAGTAGAGATGAGGTTTCACTGTGTAAGCCAGGATGGTCTCGATCTCATGACCTTGGGATCCACCCACCTCAGCCTCTCAAAGTGCTGGGATTACAGGCATGAGTCACCAAGCCTAGCTATGGAATGTATTTCTATGAATAAACAGCTAAGAATTAGAAAAGAACATTTAAAAGAGAAACAAAACATGAACTGCTTAGTAAAATATTTGACAAAATAAATGAAGACCTCTACACTAAAAACTATAAAAGCATTGCTGAGAGAAATGTTTAAAAAACCTCTAGTAAATAGAGGGATATACTATGTTCATTATTGGAAGACTCAGTATCATTGAAACGACAGCTCTCTTTTAACTCATCTAAGATTTAACACAATCTCCATCAAAATTTTATTGACAAACTGATTCTAAAATTCATAAGGCAATGTAAAAAAACCTAGAAAAGCAAGATTATTTTGGAAAGGAATAAGAAAGAAGGCATTCATTACTTGATTCTGAGTATGACTATAAACATATAGAAATCAAGTCAGTGTGATATCAGCATAAGAACAGACAAATAGATCAAATAGAACAGAATAGGGAACAGAAATAGACCCAGACATCTATGTAGTCAGTTGAACTCTGATAAAGCCTCCAAGTTAACTCAATGGGAAAAAGAAAGTCTTCTCCATAAATGATGTTGGATAGCCATGTGACTGAAAGGTGGGGAAACAGCATGGGCAGAGTGGTGGCCCCAGGCCCAGGGAGCCCCTGCGTCCTACACAGCTGCAGTGCATGCTGCCAGCATAACCAGCCCGGAGTCTGGAGAGATGGGCACCACCCTGAGCATGAGGCTGTTTGCATTTAAATCTGTACATAATGCAGAAACCAGAAAACAGTGATTAATCTACCAGGCTCTGATTATATCAATCAAATGTCAATGCCTAAGTCACTACGTGGTGGTCAGGCAAATCCTTAAAGAATCGTGTATTTTTAAGGCAATGAGGGTAGCATTTGTGACAACCATATCTATTATAAGCCCACATGGGAGATTGGGACAAGCTTTGCTCAAAGCAGGCTTTGGACTGAGGGGAGATGGGAAGGGGAAGAGAGGCTAAAGAGTGGCTAGTCCTCTCTGTGAGCCATAGAGTTTATGAACTCTGTGCCTGGGGGTTTCACCAAAAATCCAAGCTGGGATTCCACAGGGATCTGACATTTCCTCTGCTGGTGAAGCCTCGTAGAGCCCACAAGAGCAGGACGCTCTTCCACTAGATTGGATGTACCCATTCAATAAATATGTATCAAGTGAATGCTATATCCCAGGCAGTAAGCTAGATAGTCCCTAGAGGAAGCCACCGTGGGAAACACAAAAGAGAAGGCTGAGAGCAGTGCCAAGCCAAATCAGAAGTGGCGGCCCCGGGGTAGTAGAGCCCCTTCGTAGGAACAAAGAAATAGTGAAGAAGACAAGCAGCAGGGAGAATTGGGGTCAGGACTGCAAAAGGAATCACAGAGCAGACGAGGTATCCGAGTGAAACCTGGTGGCGCACAGCTGAGAAGGTCTAAACAGGATGGCCCCAGTAGCACTGAGCACTTGGAGAGTCCGGATCTTCGTTTCCAATCAGAGGAAACCAATCAGCTCCTTGGAAAGATGGCTGATTCTAAGGCTGAGGCAGGACACATACAAGAAGACCCTGGAGCATCTGGTAGTGACATGAAGTAAGGAAGTACTCAAGCACCCCCCCCCACCCCCCACAAACATGACGGAGCTATGTCGGGGGGGCACAGAGCCAACTGTAAGGCTTCTGATGGCCAGTGCTGGAACAATGACAACAAGGAATAAATAAAGTGGCATTTAATTATAATCCAAAGCGTAATACAGCTGTTCATAATTCCATACTGCCATAAATAAATTGTTGAATAAATTAATAAATGGAGAAGAAACAAACCTTTCAGGCAGAAGAATTCCAAATCATGTATGTAGTTGCTGCACACCAATAAAGATAAAGCATAAGCTCCAATCTCCTAAGTGTGGGCTACACATAGTCACTTTCTGCTCAGGAGTACAAGATGGAAAAAAAGTAAAGAGTAACGTTCCAAGCACTTGCATCATTCAGGTGATCAAGGTCCAAATGCACAGTCATAAATGGGCCAGGCACAGTGGCTCATGCCTGTAATCCAGCACTTTGGGAGGCCGAGTCAGGCAGTGCACTTGAGGCCAGGAGTTCGAGACCAGCCTGGCCAACATGGTGAAACTCCACCTCTACTAAAAATAAGATAATTACCCAGAGTGGTGGCACATGCCTATAATTCCAGCTACTTGGGAGGTTGAGACAGGTTCAAGCTACTTGCTTGAACCTGGGAGGCAGAAGTTGCAATGAGCCAAGATTGTGCCACTGCACTTCAACCTGGGTGACAGAGCAAGAAAAAAAGAGGAAAAAACCATAAATCATACTGCTAATGTGTCCCCTCAATATGGCACTTTCATGCTTCCTCCCCAAATCCATAACCAGTGTCCAGTCATGTAAAAATCATCAAACAAATTTCAGGAGAGGCGCATCCTCCAATACACCTCCCCAGTACTCTTCAAAACTGTCAAGGTCATCAGAAAAAAGGAAAGTCTGTCACAGGGCGTCCAATCTTTTGGGTTCCCTGGGCCACGTTGGAAGGATTGTCTTCGGCCACACATAAAATACACTAACACTCAGGATAGCTCATGAGCTAAAAAATAAAAAAGGTGGCCGGGTGCAGTGGCTCATGCCTGTAATCACAGCACTTTGCTACTAAAAATACAAAAATTAGCTGGGCATGGTGGTGCACGCCTGTAATCCCAGCTACTCGGGAGGCTGAGGTAGGAGAGTTGCTTGAACTGGGACCTGGGAGGCGGAGGTTGCAGTGAGCCGAGATCACACCACTGCACTCCAGCCTGGGCTACAGAGCAAGACTCCATTCCTAAATAAATAAAGAAAATAAAAAAAGGTCCGTGCATCTATCTCATAATCTTTTAAGAGAGTTTACGAATTTGTGTTGGGCCACATTCAAGCTGCCTTGGGCCACATGTAGCCTGTGGCGGGAGGATTGGACAAGCTTAGTCCATCACAACCAATAGGAACCCAAGGAGACAGAACTACCAAACGTACTGTGGTATCCTGGATGCGGACCTGGAACAGAAAAAAGATGCTAGGTTTACAAAAACTAAGGAAATCAGTATAAACCATATGACTTTGGTTATTAATAGTATATCAATGTTGGCTTATTAATTATAATGAATATACCATGCAATGTAAGGTGTTTATAACGGGGGAGCCGGATGGGGGGCTGGGCTGGGAACTCTATCTGCTCAATTCTTCTGAAATAAAGAACTGCTCTGAAAAATATCGTAAGTGTAAATCTTATAAATCTGGGGAGAAATGTTTAAAAGTTATGAATAATAGATGGAGCCCCCAATGCTCTCTAAAATCCACAACCGCCTGGAAAATTGCCTTTGATGCAAAATAAACAGATGATCTTTTTTTATTTTTAGAGGCAGAGCAGGAAAGTAGAGCACAGAGCTGCCTGCTGATGAAGAGGCGGCAGGAAAATCTCAGCGCCTGAACCTCTGGTTCCTCATGGTGTCCACGGGACCTAGTCGGTGAAGCTGTTCGTTATTTTCCCCAATTGTTCATGTTTTCCTGGTACTGAAAATGCCTCTCCAGTAACTCTCCTGGAAACATATCAGCCCATGGGGAAAGCTGGACATACACTGGGGCTAAACAGGCATGTCAGGACCCCTTGACTGGGTGGTCAGGAGCAGGTGCTTTAGTGGCACCTACAATAAACTCCCGTGTGTCAACAACCTAAGTGGGTCTCTGTTCCTCGAAACAAGAAAGAAGCAAAGAAAAGAAGGAAGTTACTCAGTGTACACTGGCATATTGGTGGTTTCTTCTCAATGCAGTGGCATTATCAGAACCATGCATTAGGGGAATTACAGCTTAAAAACAAAGAAAACTGCAGTTTGGAAGGCCCGTTGCAGCAGTGCTTCTCAACTGTAGCGTGGGCGAGAATGCCCTAGAGAGCTTCTTCACCTGGATTCCCTGGCTCCCGCCACAGAGATTCGCATCCAGTAGGTGTGGGCTGGGTCCTGAAAACGTGTTTTTCTGGCAAACTCCCAAGTGCTGCTGCTGCGGTGGCTGGTCTTGTCCACTCTGAGGAATGCTAAGGCAGGAGGCCTTTGCATGACTCTCAGTAACGGGAATGAGAACAAGAGGACGGGGTCAGTAAATGACTCTCCCATGATGTTGGATACCGAGTGCATCTCAGTACCGGATACGTGGACACTGGACTATGATATCTCGGGGCCTAGGACCCCGGGAACTCACTGTTACTTTCCTGGCGTTAGCACACTGCCTGGTACAGAGGGTGTGCTTCATAAATAGCTGTTAGCTGAACGAGTGAATGTTATATGACTTAGCGTTTGCCTAGGTACTGGGAGTGACTGTGGTTTGAGTGTTTCTGTACCCCCCCAAAACTCACAAGTTGAAACTTAATCACCACTGTGATAGTGTTAAAAGAAGGGGCTTTTCGGAGGTGACTCAGTCGTGAAGGCAGAGCTCTAGTGGTTAGGGTGAAGGCCTTTATAAACCAAACATCACACAGCATATGCCCCTTTTTTACCCATCCACTTTCTGCCACATGAGGACACAGCACTCAAGGCACCATCTTGGGATCAGAGAGCAGCCCTCACAGACACTGGACCTGTGGGTACCTTGATCATGGACTTCCCAGCCTCAAGACCTGGGAGAATATAAATTTCTGTTCTTTATAAATGGCTCAGTCTGTGGCATTTTTTACAGCAGCACCAATGGACAAAGACTGGAGTGGAAGTTGAACATTTTGTTCTGGTGGAGGAGGGCACAGATCGGTGATGTCAAGAAAAGGACTGGAGATAAAACAGAAGCCCAGAACATAAAATAAGGAATCAGCGAGGGCTCTTATGGTCAGCAACTGAAACTTACTCCTGCTGCTTTAAGCGAGGAAAGAATTCATCGACAAGCTAGAGGGTGGCTCATGACGGGTAGAGAGCCCCACAGGGCACCCACATGGGCAGGACTACAGTTGAGATTGCCCCTCAGAGCTGCTCCAGGGGACCCAGGAGTTGTGGGTGCTGTACACAGGATGCCTTTCTTGCCCCGTGCCCACCTTTCCCACAGGATGTCAGATACCACCCCACACTGCCCCTTGAGTTCCCTGTCACTGAAGGTTCTCTGCTGTCACTCTTGTGCAGAACCTGGTGAGCCAAGACTTTGCCTGGTGTCAAGCGAGACCAGGGAGGCAAAGATATGAAGGCGTCAGCCTCCCGGATGGGAGCCTGGCTGAGGCAGGGCCTCTCCCAAATGTAGGAAAGGGGCTAAACTCACAAGCATCCAGGACACCTGGCTTCACAGATTGGTTGAGACAGCTCAGTTCAGCAATCAGAAGTGGCCAGGACGGGGGAAAAAAGTTCAGGATGTGCTGCCTTCCTCACTGGCATTTCCAGAGGCACCTCAGTCCCCCAGAGGAATCATCAAAGAATACGAGTAATCAGAAAGTCAACTTAGCTTAAATGAAACCATGTCTATTGCAAACCATTTTAGTAAAATAAACTTGTGATACCAAATTAGGAAATCTGGAAGTAACTTCTGAATTACAATCCATGTAATTATTTTGTTGATGAAGCAATTTTTTCTCTCAAATATAATTAGGAAAATAAATGAGTGAGTGCTTTCATGTGAGACTACTGTGACATGGAGATTTCTATAATATTGTATTGATTATAGCAGGATTTTATTGGTTTTTAGCAAAGTGGCAGTGACATTAAAGGAATCTAACCAAGCTACTTTGCCTGAACACTTCCCCAGGGAGGTCTGAGATTCCAGAACACATGATCATTTTGAAATGCTAATCAATCCAAAAATGGGATTAAGATAAGCAAATTAGCTTAATATCCACATTGGAATGCAAGTCTTCCGAACAGTGAAATATCTCAGCGCATACTCTTATCTCATCTTCTCGTTTTTTTGGAATGAATTATTCTGCCTACAAAAAAAGCCTCACTGAGCCATCAGGGTAACTGGTAACCTGTGGAGAAACCGCAAGTTACCCTGAAACTAATTCATGAGACTCCCCTCGGCAGATCCTATTTTCTGTAAATGAAAGGAATATTTTCATTTTTGGGTGTAAAATCTGCAAGTCGTTTCACCAACTTTGACTGCATTTCTCAGCCACGCAAATCTGCAACTGGTAAGGATGCGAACAGCAGGCCAGCAGCTGGTAAACAGGGGTGAGCAGAGTTGTCAACGTTATTCAGGTATTTTTTGATTTTAGCCTTTAGCTCATCTCAGATCCTTTGTTTACTTTCAGACCACAGGCTAAAACTAATCTGTTGAACTTTTATCAGGGATGCTGGCCCTGAAGAAACTTAGAATACTGTTGGCTGGGTGTGGTTGTTCATGCCTATAATCCCAGCACTTTGGGAGGCTGAGCTGGGTGGATCACGAGGTCAGGAGTTTGAGAGCAGCCTGACCAACATGGTGAAACCCTGTCTTTACCAGAACTACAAAAATTAGCTGGGTGTGGTGGCACATGCCTGTAGTTCCAGTTACTCAGGAGCTGAGGTAGGAGAATGGCTTGAACCCAAGAGATGGAGGTTGCAGTGAGTCGAGACCATGCCACTGCACTCCAGCCTGGACAACAGAGCAAGACTTCGTCCCAGGGGGGAAAAAAACTGTGAAGGAGGCCCTCCTTGCATTTGACCTCAAACTCATCTTTCAGCTGTTTATTTTCCTCCTTTCCTTCTCTCTAAGCACCTAATATTCCTGAGCAACCCCTTCCCACCTACCCACCAGCTCCCATGACTCCATGTTGCCAACCTGACCAGCCCAGAGGGGCTGAAATGTGATTAGGTTGTAGATAAGCTTTTGTTTTAAATCAACTTGGAGAAAAGACAAAACCAAATGTGAAGGCCCAGGGAGATAATTACGTTTCTGCGGCTATTTGATGATCCGACACGGTTTGGCTCCCAATTTGTCAAATAGCATGTAGTGAGCATCAAACACACAACAAATATTTATTAAGCACATTCCATGTGCCAGAGGCTGCACTAGGTACCGGGAATAACTGGAAGAGGTAATCCGTGCTTTCAGGTAGCTCAAGGTCTGTGAAGAACATGGAGACCAAGGGAAATAATTACAACATGCCATTAGTTTCTCCACCTTGGAGTTTCCATTGCATTAGGTACAAATGTGTGTTGGCACTTACCTCACACCATGCTTTCCCTGCTCCTAACACGGTATCAGGCATATAGCAGGCTCTCAGAAATACCTGTGAAATAATGAATGAATAAACAAATGAACAAACAAAACATTATTGGAGTGCCAATAATGTCTAGCACAGTGTCTGACCTTGAATGAGCTCATAATAAAAGTCAGATGAATTCACATGGGTTGACGCTCAGGTGGAGCAAGAGGGCATTTGGAGGGGAGGGTGCTCCAGGCAGAAGTACTTCAGCACCTAGCCTAGTGCCTAGCACATGGCAGACACATAGGAAATACTTGTTAAATGAATGAATGGACCAATGGGTGTAACGCACAGCATACATAAAGTCACCAGTATTGTGAAAAAGTAGATACACTTAGGGAGTGACATAATCAGAAAATTCTATAATTATAAGAGAAAAGGAGAGAGTGAGAGAGGTAGTTAGAGAAAAAAGAATGGAAAATGCAAGAGAAATGCAATGCAAGGCGCAGAGCTACTTGGGGAAAGAGTAACTGTGCAGAGAGGAGAAGGCCCAAATGAGAGCACAGAAATAAGCCAAGGACTGCAGAATCGGGGTGGTGCCTGTGAGCAGGAAAACCAAGGATCATGTCTTAATATTACTGGGGCCAAAGGGGATTTCTGGCAACAGGAACCCTTGCCAAGGAAGAGTGTGGTTGATCACTGAGGACAGACAATCTCTCCAAGGACTCTGACCCAGAAGAAGCTGACTCATCAGGAAAATAAAAACAAGGACAGTTAAGAAAAAATGGATTGTCTTAAGCTGGGGCAAATCGAAGCTGAGCTATATTAGACCACGTGTTCGTTATCTATTGCATGTAACAAGTCACCTCAAAACTTGGTGGCTTTAAGTAGCAATCAACCTTTATTACCTCAAACCGTTTCTGAGAGTCAGGAAATCGGGAGCAGATGAGCTTGGTGCTGAGTTCTCTCCTGAGGTTACAAGAAAAAAGTTGGCTGAGAGGCAGCCATTGGAAGGCTTGACCTGGGCTAGAGAGCAGCTCAAACACGTGTTGGTTGACACCCCAGCTCCACTCACACAGGGAGCAACTCACATAAAGTGTGTTGGTGTCCTTGTGATGTGTAGCTGACTTCCCCCAGAGTGTGTGTTCCAAGAGAGGGCAGAGTAGAAGCTGTAATATCTTTCATGACCTAGCTTTGGGAATCGAATGCCATCATTTCTGCACTATCCCATTGCCTACATGCATCAGCCCTATTCAAAGTGGGAAGTGGGGCTGGCTGAGGTATCTCACACCTATAATCCCAGCACTTTGGGAGGCCAAGGAGGGTGAATCACCTGAGGTCAGGAGTTCAAGACTAGCCTGGCCAACATGGTAAAACCCATCTCTACTAAAATTACAAAAAGTAGCCAGGTGTGGTGGTACACACCTTTAGTTCCAGCTACTTGGGAGGATGAGGTATGAGAATCACTTGAACCTGGGAGGTGGATATTGCAGAGGTTGCAGTGAGCTGAATGTGCTATTGCACTCCAGTCAGGGAGACAAAGCAAAAAAAAAAAAAAAAAAGGACTGGGCAAGGTGCCTTCTTACACCTGTAATCCCAGCACTTTGGGAGGCCGAGGTGGGCAGATCACGAGGTCAAGAGATTGAGACCATCCTGGTCAACATGGTGAAACCCTGTCTCTACTAAAAATACAAAAAATTAGCTGGGTGTGGTGGCGCATGCCTGTAATCCCAGCTACTTGGGAGGCTGAGGCAGGAGAATTGCTGGAACCCAGGAGGCGGAGGTTGCAGTGAGCCGAGATCCCACCACTTTACTCCAGACTGGCCCCTGACGACAGAGCAAGACTCTGTCTCCAAAACAAACAAAAATGAAACCACGAAAGGGGTTCCACAAAGATGACTAGCAGGTGGCAAGAATCACTGGGAGTAACCAATAACCTTGGGGCACTATCCAAGAGACAACTCCAAGATGATGTTGGAGGCTGGTTACCACAAACGGCATTCCATAATCACCTAATCTGATGGAGTTCTCTATATTTCATAGGCACGTTCAATAAAAGATGACAAAATTAGCCTTCCACATCTCTGAGCTTCTGATATCCTCCCCATAATGGCTAATCCTTTCAAAAGGAAAAC